CACCACTTCTATTCAACATAGTCCTTAAACTCTAACCAGAGTAATCAGACAGATGAAAGAAATTAAAGGGATACAAATAGGAAAAGAAGAACTCAAACTATCATCATTTGCTGATGAGATTATTCTATACTTAGAGATCTAAAACCTCCACCAGAAAACTCCTACAATTAATAAATGAATTCAGCAAAGTAGCAGGATATAATAATCAATGCTCATAAATCAAATACATTTCTAAACATCATTGATGAATCCACTGACAGAGAAATTAGGAAAACTATTCCAGTCATAATAGCTTCAAAAAATAAAATACTTGGGAATAAAGCTAACAGGAGAGCTGAAAGACTTCTACAATAATAACCACAGAACACTAGAGAAACTGAAGAGGACCTTAGAAGATGGAAAGATCTTCCATGTCCATGGATAGGGAGAATCAATATTGTCAAAACGGCCATACTACCCAAACTGCATAAAGATTCAATGTGATTCCAATTAATATCCCTATATCAGTCCTTATAGAAATAGAAAAAGCATTCATGAAACATTTGGAAAAATAAGACCCAGAATAGCCAAAGCAATCCTTAGCAAGAGTGAAGCAGGAGGCAACACAATACCAGACTGTAGACTATACTACAAAGCTACAGTAACAAAAATGGCAATGGTATTGGCACCAAAACACATACAGAATAGAAGACACAGAAACAAACCCACATAAATACAGTAACCTCATACTATATAAAGGCACCAAATACATACATTGGGGAAATGAAAGCCTCTTCAACAAATGGTGCTGGGAGAACTGGAAATCTATACACAGCAAAATATAACTAAACCCGTTACTCTCACCATGCACAAAACTCAAAGTGGATCAAGGACCTAGGAATTAGACCAAAGACCCTACATTAAATAGAAGCAAAACCATGCCCAAATTTTCATCATGTCAAATTAGGCCCTGACTTCCTTAACAAGATTCCTCAAGTGCAATAAATAAAATCAAGAATCAATAAATCGGATGGATTCAAACTAAAAAGCTTCTTCTCAGCAAAAGAAACAATTGGTGAGGTGAAGAGAGAGTACATTTGGGAGCAAATTTTTATCACAAACACATCAACATAAGTCCCAAGGATACATAAAAAAAATCAAAAAACTTAGCACCAAAAAAACAAACAAACCAATCAATAAATGGACTAAGGAGCTGAACAGACACTCTGAGAAGAAATGTAATCAATCAGCAAATATATGAAAAAATATTCAACATCTCTAATAATTAAAGAAATGCAAATCAAACCTAAGATTTCATCTCACACCAGTCAGAATGGAAGTTATCAAGAATACAAACAACAAGTGTTGATGAGCACGTGGGGGAAAAGGCACTCTCATACATTGCTGGTGGGACTTACAAATTGGTGCAACCAATCTGGAAAGCAGTATGGAGATTCCTTAGAAAACTTGGAATGGAACCATCATTTGACCTAGCTATCCCACTCCTTTGTCTATACCTTAAAGACATAAAAACAACATACTACACTAATGAAGTCACTTCAATATTTATAGCAGCACAATTCACAATTGCTAATCAGTGGAAGCAATCTAGATGCTCTTCAATAGATGAATGGATTTGTGAGACAAATGCATAAAGAAATATTACTCAGCATTAAAAGAGAATAAAATTATGGCATTTTTAGGTAAATGAATGGAGTTAGAAAATATCATGTCAAATAAAGTAAGCCAATCTGACCCATAATGTGGGGGTGGGCATGGAGAGAATGGAGGAACTTAGATTCAGCAAAGTGGAGGGAAGAAAGAGGAGGGGGCATGAGAACAGAAAAGATGGTGGAATGAGATGAACATCATTACCCTAGGTACACGTATGACTGTACATGTGGTATGACTCTACATTGTGTACAACCAGAGAAATAAAAAGTTGTGCTCCACTTGTGTACAATGAATCAAAATGCATTCTGCTTCATGTATAACTCATTAGAATAAATTTTAAAAATTAAAAAATTATATATACCAAGCTCTGAAAGAAAATAGATGCCAACCAAGAATCATATAACCATCAAAATTAAGCTTCAGGTTTGAAGATGAAATAAAACCTGGCATGATAAACAAAAGTTAAAAGAATTTGCAACTAAAAGCCTGCATTACAGAACATTCTTAACAAAATATTCAATGAAGATGAAAAGAAAAGTCTGGGGTTGTGGCTCAGTGTTAAAGCACTTGCCTCGCATGTATGGGATGCCGAGTTTGATCCTCAGTGCCACATAAAAAAATAAAATAAAGGTTCTGTGTCAATTTATAACTAAAAATAATTTTTTAAAGTAAAAATTTTAAAAATTAGATGGAAAAAAGTGAAAACTAGCAAAGGGAAGAACTACACTAAAGTAATAATCAACCAAAGGCGAAATTAATTCAAATTAAAAACTATAAAAATAAACTCATGAGTAGGAATTCAAATCATATCTCAATAATAATGCTGAAAATTAATGGCCTAAACTCATTCATCAAAAGATACAGACTGGCACACTGGATTATAAAATAATATCCAACGATATTCTATCAAAGAGACTCACCTCATAAACAAAGACATCCACATGATGAAGGTAAAAGTATCAGCAAAAACATATCACTCACATGGATCACATAAACAAGCAGGGCTTTCTATCTGATAAAGTAGAGACCTCAAGCCAAAGTTAATCAGAAGGAACCAAGAAGGCCATTTCATACTGCTTAAGGGAAATATACATCAAACAAGACATTACAATCTTACATATTATGCCCCAAACAATGGAACTTGTATCTACGTCAAACAAACTATCAATTTCAAGAATCAAATAGAACACAACACAGTAATACTGGGTAACTTTAACTTGCCTCTGTCACCACTGAATAGATCCTCTAAACAAAATCTAAATAAAGTCTAGAAGTAAAAAATATAATTTAGACATAACACACACACAGAATATTTCATGCATCAATGAGAGTATACTCTTTTTTCTCAGAACTTGGACCCTTCTCTAATATGGACCATGTTTTGTGTAAGCTATCACATATGCTGGCAAATAATTGTAATACTACCATTATATATTTTTAGCATCTGTAGGGTTATTTTGATAGCTCCATTTCCATTAATTTTTACCTGCCTTTTTCTTGACTAGGCTTATTTTTTTAATCAGATTTTAGTTGTATTATTTACCTGCCTTTTTCTTGATTAGGCTTATTTTTTATTAGATTTTAGTTGTATTTTTTCTCCTCTATTTCATATATTTCTACTCTCACTTTTTCCTACCTAGTACATAATATGAAAATAATTTGATTCCTATCTAGCTTCTTTCTAATACAAGTACTCTGTGTTATAAATGCTCATCTGAGCACTGTTTCATCCAAGACATTCTGGTATTTTAAGCTTTTTACTCACTTCATTCAAAGCACTTTTTATTTACTTTTCTTGCGTTTCTTCCTTGACCTCCGAGATATTTATAAGTGTGCCATCTAATTTTGAAATAGTTAACATGTGGGGATGGGGTTGTATATATCTTAAGATAACTGATTTCTAATGTATTAAAATATGTGGAAACAGTCTTCATGATTTTAAATTTTAAGAAAAGGAATGCAATTGGTTTTATTATTTATTTATTTATTGTGGTGCTGGGGATTGAACACAGGGCCTTGTGCATGTGAGGCAAACACTCTACCAACTGAACTGTCTCCCCAGCCCCACAAATACTTTTTATATTGATATTAGTTATATACAGATTAAAACTCATCAAATTGCATACTTCAAATATGTGCACTTTATTGCACTTCAATTTTACGTCAATAAAGCTATGGGGAAAAAAGAGCTTCAGTAGAGAAAAATAAATCTCACATAAGCTTGATATAGGAAACAGAAGAGTAAAAGTTTCTATAGGCAATGTATTCAAATCAGAAACACCTATTCACAAAAGAAACGAAAATCATAACTTAAGATTTAATAACAAATTAAATTCTTAAAATCAGAATTGGAAAGACACAGTAGTTATTAGAACAGAAAAATTGAAGAAATTCATTTATTGCAGAATTGAAGGCTAAAATAAAAAGAACATAAGAGCAAATAAAATGATCTTTTCATGCCTGAAACAAAGGAAACTGGAAAGCAAAAAAATTCTAAAATGAAAAAGACATTTTAAAACTCCGAAAGAAAGCAGTAGCTAAGAGTGTATCATGCAACAAGAATCTCTGAAAACCGAACTTAACATAAAATGCTAAAAATGGCATAGTAATTTTCAGTAAATAAAAACACTTAAATCTAAACAATAAAAGAACACATAATATACCCCAGATCATCAACTAAAAATGGCTAACAGAAAATTCAAAGGAAACAACTGAACTTTAAAGAAAAAAATAATTATTTGGGCCTTCATTCATATAGACTAAATCACCTATAAGACCAAAAAACAAAATTATATGTTCTTCACACTTGTACAAAATACTTTATTACAGAAGAAAATACAGTAGAATATTTAAGATACTCAAGGAAAAATTTCTGAACCAAGATTTTTTTTGGTCTCAGTTTTAATCTGGCCAAATCAACATGGAAGGACTTGGAAATACTGCATCCATGAGCCTTCCCTAGGCAATCTTTTAGAGGACTAGTTTTAGATGACCAAAATGATTCATGTGACATCAACCTAAGGATTGAAACTGGGGTATGGTGGCAGAGACACACCTGCAATCCCAGCAACTAGGGAGGCTGAGGCAGGAGAAATTGAGAGTTCAAAGCCAGCTCAGCAACTTAACAAGGCCTTTAGCAATTAGCAAGAACCTACTTCACAAAGAAAAGGACAGGAAAGGAAAAGGGAAGGGAGCATATTGAAGTCCTAAGTGTTAAGAGACCCAAAAATCCCATTGAGGCAGAATGATATTAAGACCAAATGGTGTTCATGCTTTATCAAGGATGATACCTTTTTTCTGCAAACAGCTGTGGCAAAGTTTACCAAACTAAATCTTCAAATACTTACATTTAATTCAGTTTTTAGCACTTCTTCAAGAAGATGACTTATGTGTTCTTTATTTTCTTTTGTGTCCATAACTATACAAATTTCTTGTGATATTCTCTCTGAAATAAAATGAAAAAAAATTAAAATTTTCACATTCAACAAAAGAATACAACAATAACCTCCCATGCGGACACCTGTGCTTACCTGCTTTTCAAAGCCCTTGACTAAGAATAAGGAGGTTTTGGCTTCAGGCCACGTGGAGTAACCTCTATTGTATACCAAGATATCTTGGCAACAAATCTATGCATTAAACGTTGGTTGGTGGACAACCAATCATACCATACTTAATGGAAATAAGAGATCTTAGTAACTAGAAATCACAATCACTTGGTTTACCAATTCCTCTAGAATGCCAATGCAATAAAATTAAGTTTTTGTGTTCACTTTATCATAATAAAAATAGTTTAATCTTTCTAAATTTGAACTTTCCTCTTAGAATTGCTTTCATAGTGTCCCAAAGATTTTGATAAGTTGTGTCATGATTCTCATTTACCACTAAGTATTTTTTATTTCATCTCTCATTTCTCCTGCTACACACTCATTCAATAGCATATTATTTAGTCTTCAGATGTTAGAGTAGCTTCTTTTTTATTTTATCATTAATTTCTAACTTCAGACCATTGTAATCTGATAGAAAGCAAGGTAATCTCTATATTTGCTCAGAGAAGAATTGTTTTGTGGCATACTATATGTTCTATGTTAGAGAAGCATCCATGAGCTGTGGAGAAAAAAAATATATTGATTTTTGATTCATTGATGGGTGAAATAGTCTATATATGTCCATTAAGCCTAAATTACTAATTGTACTTTTTTAGGTCTACAGCTTGTTTAGTTTTTGTTTGAAGGATTTAGCCAGTGGTGAAAGAGTTGTGTTAAAATCACCCAGTATTATTCTGTTATGTCCTATTTGAAATTGAGAAAAGTTAGATGATGGAGATGTTCTATTGTTTGGGGAATAAATATGTAAGATTGTTATGTCTTGCTGATGTATAATTCCCTTAAGCAGTATGAAATGGCATTCTTGGTTAATTTTACTTGAGGTCCACTTAATCTGAGAACAGAAACCCCTGTTTAAGAGATCCATGCTAATGATATGTTCATTTCCAACCATTTTACCATCAGTCTGTTGATCTCTTTATGGGGTGAGTCTCTGGTTGACAGGACATTGTTGGGTCTTGAATTTTTAATCCAATGTGCCAGTCTTTGTCTTTTGATTGATGAGTTTAGAGCATTGACATTCAGTGTTATTATTGAGAAATCATGTATATTCCATGTCATTTTGATTTATTACTGGTTTTTAATTTGAATGAGTTTCTCCTTTGATTGACTATTCCTTTAGTGTAGTTCCTCTTTTTGCTGGTTTTCAATTTTACATTTCATTTCTTCTTCATAAAATATCTTATGTTTTGTAGTATAGGCTTTCTAGCTGTGAACTATTGTTCATCATGGACATTTATACTTACTTATATTTGGATTTTTTTCTTACTTATATTTGGATTTTTTTTTTCATGTCTGACATTTCTGAAACCAGTTATTTTTCATGGCTCTGTCTTTTGAGGACCAGGATATTTGATTAGTATATTTCAATCTGGTTTTGTATTATATTCTTATTTTTTATTTTTAAATTTTTACTTTATATATAAGAAAGTTCATTGCCCTCAGCATATTCTTTATAAGGACAGAAAGTCACCAAATAAATAACCTAACATTACATCTCAGAGCTCTACAAAAAGAACAAATCAACACCAAAAGAAGAAGGCAATAAATAAAATTCATAATGAAAAAGGAACTATCATGGCAGATCCCACTGAAATACAGACGATAATCAAACTATTTTGAAAATCTATACTCCAATTAAGTAGAAAATCAAAGACATCAACAAATTTTTAGAGACAAATTACCTACCCAAATTGAATAAGGAAGACATAGAATGTTTAAATAAACTACAAGCAATGAAATTTAAAATGCCATCTAAAGTCTACCAAGAAAGAAAAGCCCAATCCGACACAGATTCTCAGCCAACTTCTACCAGAACTTCAAAGAACACCCATCCTCCTCAAATTATTGCATGAAATAAAAAAGGGGAGAACCCTTCCACTCTCATTCTATGAAGCTAGTATCACCATGATCCAAAACCAAAGACACATCAAAGAAGAGAACTTCAGATCAATATACCTGATGAACACATATGCAAAAATTCATAATACTATCAAATAACATACAAAAACATATTAAAAAGATAGTATGTTACAACCAAATCAGGTTCATCCCAGGGATGGAAGGCTGGTTCAACATATAGAAATCAATAAAGGTGATTCATTACATCAATAAATTGCATGCTTATCTCAACAGATACAGAAACAGCATTTGACCAAATTCAGCATCCATTTACATTCAAAACATTAAAACGACAAGGACAATAGAAACACACCTCTATTATTATTATTAAAGATATATATGCTAAACCCAAGGACAATATCATTCTAAATGCAGAAAAAATAAAATCATTCCCTCTAAAAACTGGAATAAAACGGGAACAACCTCTTTCACCACTTCTATTCAGCATAGTCCTTGAAAACCTAGCCAGAGCAATTAGACAAAAGAAATTAAAGTGATACAAATAGGAAAATACCTCTAAACTACCCCTATTTGCAGTGACATGATTCTATATTTAGAAGACCCAAAAACTTCAGTAGAAAACTTCTAGAACTCATAAATGAATCCAACAAAGTAGCAAGATATAAGTGAGTTGCATTTGTATACACCTATAAATACACCCATAAATCAGTTGCATTACTATATATCAATGACAAGTTAGCTGAAAGAGAAATCCAGGAAATTATCCTATTCACAATAACCTCTCAAAACAAATATTTGGGAATCAATGTAACAGAAGTGGTGAAATACCTCTAAAATGAAAACTACAGAGCACTAAAGAAAGAAATGGAATATGAGCAGAATAAAAAAATGGTTGAAGGGAAAAAAATAAAGAGAAAGAAATTGAAGACCTTTAGAAAATATTAATTCTGCCTATCCATGTTCCTGGATAGACAGAATTAATATTGTCAAACTGGCCATACTACCAAAAGCACTATACAGATACAATGCAATTCTTATTAGAATTCCAATGACATTCTTCATAGAAATAGAACAAGCAGTAATAAAATTCACTTTTGGATAATATGAAGCCCAAAATAGCCAAAGCATTCTTACCAAGAAAAGTGGTGCCAGAGGCTTCACAATGCAAGACCTTAAATTATACAGCAGCGCTATGGTAACAAAAATGGCGCCGTATTGACAGAAAAACAGACATGAAGACCAAGGGTACAAAATAGAAGACAGAGACAAACCCACATAAATACACTTATCTGAGACAAAGGCTCCATATGTTGGAGAAATAAAGCCTCTTTAACCAATGGTGCTGAAAAACTGGAAATCCATATGTAGCAAAATGAAATTAGACTCCCTATGTCTCTTCCTGTAAAAAACTCAACTCAAAGTGGATCAAGGACCCAGGCATTAGACCACAGACCCTGTGCTTACTAGAAGAAAATATAGGCCCAACTCTCCATCATGTCAGCTTTGGAACTGACTTACTAGACAAGATTTCTAAAGCACAAGAAGTAAAATCAAGAATCAGTAAGTAGGACAGTAACAAACTAAAAAGCTTCTTCAAGGCACACAAAACAATGAAGAGCACGAATGGAGAGCATACAGATTGGAGAAAAATTTTTCCACCGGCACATCGATAGAGAATTGATCTTCAGGATATATAAAGAAATAACACCCAAAAAAAATCCCAATCAAGAAATTGGCTAAGGGACCCAACAGGCACATCACAGAAACAAAACAAATGGTCAATAAATATAAGAAGAAGGTTCAACATCTCTAGAAATTAGAGAAATGCAAATCAAAACTACACTGAGAGTTCATCTCACTCCAATCAAAATGGCAATTATCAAAAATACAAGCAACAATAAATGTTGGAAAAGATGTGAGGGGAAAAGGTATGTTCATACATTGCTGGTGGGACTGCAAATTGGTACAACCACTCTGGAAAGCAGGGTGGAGATTCCCCAGAAAACTTGAATGGAACCACCATTTGAGCCAGTTATCCTACTCCTTGGCATATACCCACAGGACTTAAAATCAGCGTACTACAGTGACACAGCCACATCAATGTTTATAGCAGCTCAATTCACAATAGTCAAAATATGGAACCAACTTAGTTGCCCTTCAACAGATGAATGGATAGAGAAGATGTGGTATGGATACACAATGGAATATTACTCAACCATAAAGACAAATGAAATTATGGCATGTGCTGATCAATGGATGAAGTTAGAGAATAACATTAAGTGAAATAAGTCAATCCCAAAGAACCAAAGGCCAAATGTTTTCTCTAATATGTGGATGGTAACATACAATAAGAGGTGGGGGAGAAAATAAAAGTACTATGGATTACACACAGGGAATGAAGGAAAGAGGGAGAATGAGATATGACAGTGGAATAAATCTGATATTACTTTCCTATATTCATTTATGAATATATGACTAGTATAATGACATTTTAAAATAACAAGCCTTCTAATGAACATGATATATTCCTCCACTTTCCAAAATCTTCATTAATTCCTCTGAATAGTGGTCTATAGTTCCCAGTATGGAGTACTTTTACAGTTATATTTACTTCTACTGTTAATGCTACTGTAAATTGACTTTTCAATTTCACCTATTTCTTACATAAAAACAAATTTTATGCAGACCTTATAGTCAGTAAACTTGCTAAATTTACATATAAACTGTTTTATTCATTAGTTCAGATTCTCAAGGTACACAAACACTTGATTGTAATCTTATGTCCTTTCCAAACCATAATTTTATCTGATAATACTCAGAATTTTGCCTCCATTTCAGGAGAAAAATTAGTAATCTTACTTCCTTATAAAGCTATGTTATATTTCATTAAGTAATCATACTGTTTAAAATTGGGAAGCATTCATTTCAAAATCTAAAGAAAACTCAGACTGCTATCATATTTTCTTTTGAATTCTTTTAT